ATATGTATCTATTTTAAATCACGCATGATACGACATAAAACCACGGCTTTGGTTTATTAGACAAAACGATGTAATGAGAAGCCGGATCCCGGCTTTACATTATTGTTATATATATATATTTCGTTATGATTAATATGTTTTCATCATGGTTTATGATCAATTTTTACCTTTATTAGACTTCAGTATAATGTTAACGCGGTTAAAGGGGGTGTTACTACACCTGTAACCGATGGCTGCGGGCCTAGGTAAAATGGTTTGAAAATTATATTTTTGAAAAATCACCGATATCATAATTTTTTGGGAATTACGCGTATTTTAGTGAAGTGATTTTCAAATTTTTAATATTACATGTTAAATTATTTTACCAGTTATATGTATTATTTTAAAGATTATTTTTCGGAAGTTGATTACTTTATCAGTACTTGCCTACGCTGAACATAGACATAGTTTCTTAATTGTTTCCTTAATTGTACTTGTTTGATTTAATATTATGTATATTGTATATAATACACTATTTATATGCATTATGAATATAACATTATAATAGGTATGCGAGCTTTGGTTTGTTTCGATTCAGTTCCAGTAATTCCACCAATAATTATTTAACAAATCGTCGGCTTTCTATTTATTGTACTGGTATAATGTATTCATATTTGAAGTACAGAATTAGTTTAAGAGTTCACCTAATATCTAGCGTAGTGTTTATTCATATAAAGAATTATATTTAGTATACTTAGTTAAGAGTAGAGTTAAAAATGTGATTTTTGATAGAGGGGTATAAGGAATTTAATGCGTTATTGACAAAAATTCTTAGAATAGACCCTGTATCACAGGAATAGTGGTAGTAACCGTAGTAGTAGTAATACGGTTCATTTTTGACCAGTTTTAAGTTATTATGCATTTTTTATAAATTTATCAAGTATTTCAATATAATTTAAAGACACGTGATTTATCTGAGGGTTTATCTGACGTAGGTAAATAAAAAATACTTCAACATTTTAAATTAATTTTTATTTATATTTCTCAGTCCGATGGTAAATTATTTACGGTCATTCAATATTTATTGCATTTATATATATATAATATATAATATATATTTAAATGCAAAAAAACAAAATAAATATATATATATATATATATATTATATTTATATTATAAATATTATTTTGTTTTAATACAAAGGTATTTTATCCTAGCTACGATCAAATGAGATTTATCTTAGTTTATTTTTTTTAAAATTAGGTATAATGTATTTATTTGTATAAATCGATTTTTTCACTCGCTTAACATTATAGAAATCCTAAAAATCCACACATTATAATAAAATAGAATATAATTTTAAACACTAATAATTCATTTTCGAAACTAATTGAATGTCTTGATAATCGCTTTAGATTAGATATTAAGGAAATATAACTCAAACATTAATATGAACTCATTTACATTCTGAGGATTTTGAAGTCTCATTAACAACTCTCATTTATAGTTACACATTACTTTTCACTGTGAAATCATCATATTGTTTCATAGTTATAATTCTAAACACATATGAAAAACACCTATTTTAACATACTAGATATATAACGCAAAATTTCTCAAACAATTTTAATTGGCTGTCGATGTAAAATGTTTTTACTGGGGCCATCCGACGTATTGATTAACAATCAAATTTTATTTTTATTTTTTCGACATAATTGATGATTTTGTCTAAAAATAAGTTAATAATTGTATTATCGTACTGCGTATTCGCTTTAATTAACTACTTAACGTGCCCATGAATCACTCGGTAACTAATTGTTAGCAAAAATGAAAAAATATCGCCTTAATTGCACGGCAAACAAGTCGTTTTACGGTCAGGATTTCCTTTTATTTGTTTTGCGATCAGACATTATAATTGTTTATCACCAGGGCTCACACGATTCTCGGACATTATACACGACACATAATATAACTTTACACGTTGCGTAATCAAAACAGTAACTCAGTAGCGACCAAAGTACGTTTGGCTTGCTTGTGCGAAATCATGTAACTCGAGACAATGAAATCCGAGCGATTTCGCCCATGAATATTTATTTTTATTAATTTTTTCTTAAATCGTTCAAAGGGCAACAAATGTCTGAATCGAATTAAACATTATGTCGTTTACGTTAGCTGCGAACGTTGAACGGTCAGAATAAATGCGCTCAATGTCAATTTTAATTCGATTGAAGAATCACGTTTCGCGTACTGTGTTCAAAGTATAATGGAACGGCGATGATTGTATACGCTCGAGTTGAATACTAATCGGTGACTGCGTGATTAGAGAACGATATTTTACCGTTCAATAATGGACATTCTCATACATGAGGGATGCATCCCTCCTTTTTTTTTTTTAATGGAATTTATGTTCATTTTCAACTGATATCCAACCTTGGTAATAATTAAATCGACGAATATAATAAATAAATATTTTTTGACTTGTTATTATTTTCCACGCGTTACACTTAATATGCTGTCATTCATAGTATGTTGTTTTTATATATAAGAAAGGGGGTGTGAGTGCTTTGTCACCACGACTCACTTTTTAATAAATTTACATATTTTCCCTCGTCTGCGCTCGGTCGTCATCCCGCGAGCAATGTATCGGAAAAGCGAAAAACAAAAAATGATGCGACAAGAAAAGTACGGAGATGCACGGGAAAAAATGTTACCGCGTCCCTTACCTCCTCCGACCACGAACAGAGCAGATTTCACATTCCATAATGTAAGAGATATGATTATTCGAATAACCATAGTGTACAGCACTAGGTGTATTGGAATAACGTGATTGCCGGTTCGGTAGAGAAAAGGATTTTAATGTATAATGATGGGAAAAAAAAACACACACGATTTCAATGCTAAAATTATATTTAAAATAAAATGTATTGTAATAATAATATTAGGGTACTAAAAATATTTATGGATGTGTACTACGTATAAATAAATTTATACCGTACGCAGCCAGAGACTAAACGCTACGATGAAATTGAATTGAAATAAATATTAACGCTAACAATTTATAGAGTTATGATATAAAGTAAAAACGTTTCGTTTTCACACCAAAAAAAAAAAATAAAATAAAATAAAAATAATAATAATAAAATAAAAATACGCTAAATGTACAGAACTTAAAAATAATAGTTGTCCGTTAGCACAACCCCTATATAAAGAGCACGTCAAAATCTGTTGTGGAGTACGTGGACAATAGGTATTTGTACGCGAATCTGTTTCAGTTTTACGTTTCGTCCGGATCGATGTGTGATGTGTGGATTCGGTTCGATTGCGAGTCTCGTCATGAACAAGGACAATTCGGTGTCCACGTGATACCGTGACAACCGAAAACCCGTTTACTCGTTCGCTTTGCGGTTATCGAAACGACATGCTCGTTAGATAGAGGTTGTTCTAACACGTCGTGTGTTCGCACGCGGGCAAGCACGGAATGAAATTAAAATAATAAAAAAGTTTCGTAACGCTAAAAATAATGTATAGGTATATATATATATATGTATGACTAATGTATACATATGATGATCGTACATAACTTATTTACGACGATGACGTTCCTAACACATTGATGTATGAATATTTACATGCGACAAGCGAAAGAAAAAAAAATCGATATAATATTTTTCTTAATGCTTAATGTACTTTAATTATTGAAACGATTGTGTGCAAGTCAGAACGTAACGATTGGCGTAATTAAATTAGTAGTTGTACAGCGTATTATTATGATATCGTCGAAAACGCGCGTAGAACGTACGGATTTGGATTGCAATCATAGGCGCACGTTTTACAATAGTAAACTATGCGACACGAACGTCGTCCGGTGAAAATATTTTGTCGCTCGGTATTTCGAGAGACACGGGTGAAACACGATTAGTTGTCAAAAGAAAATCCTTTTCGAATTGTTTTGAAAAAATAAATAAATAAAATCACGCAATGCACGATGGACGAGTTTGTACGGGATACTGTAATGTTGTGGATGTCTATTTTTTTAAAATTTATTTTTAACAATCAAACGGAGCGCACGTGAAATACCGCCATCCGTATACGGTGACTGCTTTTGACGGTAGAAAAAAGGGTTTTGTCGCCCGGAGAAAATTCCTTAAAAAATGCACTGACGGCTGCACGTGTTTGAATTTAATTAAATTCTCGTCGATTGGAAATCGAACGACGGCGAACGACTCGTACGAACGACTTGTCCAAACAAGGGATGAGCGAACGCGCGGGCGCGCGCGCGCTGGGGAGTGATAGTGAGAGAGAGCGAGAGAGAGACGGGTGGAAAACGGCGAGGAACGATATCGAACGGAATCATTGATTTTACGGGGCGAACAGTGTTTGCACGACGGTGTTCCGTGGAAATTGAAAAAAGGAAAAAACGTCGGGAGTTGAACCGCGCGCGCAGCCCCCGGTCGGCGTCCACGGGATCGGTCCGCGAAACGTGCCCGCGCGCAAAACTTTGAATCCGCCGCCGCCGCCCGTCCACCGCGATGCCCGCCGCCGCCCGTCCACGCCGCGGGCCCTATCGCAGTTGCGCTCGGACGTGGC